GAGAGAGAGAGAGAGATATCTATCTAGAGAGAGAGAGAGAGAGAGATATCTATCTAGAGAGAGAGAGAGAGAGAGAGAGAGAGAGAGATATATCTATCTATATATAGATATATATATGTTTGCTGTCTTACTTGCAAAATGATGTGAAGTTTCAGTCACTCTTGTAACATCACGCTGCTAAATCCTGGGTTAGCTTGCTTTACAATGCTGAACTTATCAAATGTTTTCTTCCAGGACACCAAACAAAGTGCTTCACTGATTCCCACGCCTGACAGCAATCTGCATTTGAGCTCTGAGTACCAGGAGACATTTTTTAAAGACCCAACAATTGCAGATGATTTGCTGGACGAGGACGAGGATGAGGACGGGGACTGGAGTGGGAGTTATCACCCGTCAGTCATTGAACAAACGCATGATGTTGACACATCTCAAGGCAGCTTTTGTGAGGAATCATATCGATACAGTGACGTCTCCTGTGGTGATCCATATACAACATGGCTGCCTGCCAGAGTGGTCTCTCCTTCTGCCGAGGCAGATCCTAATAATGACACTGTTAATTATTCTATGGAAGAGTTGCACTTTCGAACACTACAGATAAATTATGAGGCGGTAAGTGGCATCTCACCCCATTACTGGCCAGATTCATATTGCTCTCTTATGGACACACATTAGGGCAAGTGTACATGGGGTTTTCAGATCCTCAGATTGAGATTGTGCCTCGCTTTGTGGCCTTACTAGCTGCTTACTTGTTCTGGGTCATTGAATAGTGATGTGCGTGGGCTTTGTGCGAACTGAGTTAGCCCAAGCCCCCACAAAATTGTCAGTGATATAACCCCCCTTTGCTACATGTTCCTGCTTGGTGGGGATTGCCACGGCCGCAAATGATTGGGCAGAGAGGGGGCTCTGTCACTGAAAATTCTGTGTAGTCTTGGGCAAACTCGGTTTGCACCAAACCCATACATATCAATAATAATGAATCTAGCAAGACAGGCTTAAAGACTGCACCTGTAAGAGTAAGTCAGTTTTGGCAGCAACCATATTTCTTTCTTGACAGTTCCCCTTTAAGGCCTTTAAAGTCAGGGCTTAGGGTGGCCTTACACATAGCCATTTGTGATTGATTTACATACAAACGATCGCAAACAAGTGATCTGTCACGGATTAAAATATTGAGGGACGCAACACACGGTATTGTACAACATTTTGTGATCAACTAAAAATATCAATTGAAAATACCATGTATCATTGGTAAATGTAAATGATCTATTAACCCCTTAAGGACCCCTACGCTGCCAAGGCCTTTTTTTTTCATTATTTTAGGCCTGAAAATTATTTAAAACCCTCAAACATTATATATTTTCTGGAAGCCAAGACCCTGTAGAATAAAATGTTGGCAGTAGCACGATATTAGTGCAACTTATTATCAAACCCAAAAATTTAGTGAAAAATGCACTTAAGTAATTTTAGATCGCACTTCGATAGCTTATTGCTCGGCTTCAGGAGCCCAGCAATGACCGCTCAGGAACCAGAAGTGATGCAACACACGTTGCTCCCGGTCCCATGGAGCAGGTAGGAGATCGGTGAATGGAAGTTCGCCCCTCTCCTCCCCAGGTTCCTGCCGGCACCCAACATGCTGGTCCCGGGCCCTCAAGAGGGGCAGCGGAGCCCGGGAAACACGGCGGGTGTGTCGGGCGGGGGGTAGGCACTTTACCGGCCCGCAGAAGAGATCTGGATGCAGCTGAGTTGCCAGCATCGCTCTGATTGTAAAGATGACAGCCGGCTCTACAAGTGTAAACAGAATCAGATGGGAGTCTGTTTAAAAACCCCTTAGGGACTCATGATGGAATGATTCCAACACGAGTCCTTAAGGGGTAACAATTATCATTAAATCGATCTGACTTACGATCAGTTCTCCTGAGTCACATAGATATTTGTATGATCTCTCAGCAAAATTGTCTTGGGACAAAAATTGATTGGGAGCTCACTAAAATGATTCATTGGAGGATATTTGGCTTGCAGTTTTTATTCAATTCAGTCATTTCGATTGCATTTAATGATAGATTGTATGATCATAGTGATGTCTGTGTGGCCACCTTTAAGCGCATCCCAACAGCATTCCACAATGCAAGTGGGTGCCACGTGTGTGGGTGGCTCCGTGGCTTTGCATTAGTTCTCCTTCAGTAGGGTGCCCTGTGTGGCCTCATCGTCCCTGGCAGGGCACCCTGTGTGGCAGCCAATCATTATGTAAGGCAAAACATATGCTTTCAAGTCGGGTCTATACACGAGTCTTTTTTTGTTTTTCATTCAACCTGGGGGCTGAACACAAAAAAGTAGAATAGATTCCTCCAATAACGCTTACGAGTGTTAATGGATGAATCCCCCTCTGTTTGCATTGGGTCCTGATTGACTGCCAGCTGTGTTCGGCCGAGAATTTTCCAACCTGCTCCTTTGATTAGTTTTTAGAGAGATGTCGGGCGGAAGGGAGCTGACAGCGGCACCCACTGTGCGAATTTCATCCGGTTCCTAATGAACCAGATGAAATTTGTACCGTAAGTACACTACTTTAGAATTTCAGCTGATTCACAGGAATGGCTTGAAATTCTAACAGTGGGTTGATCAGCCATCTCAACAAAAGCAATTACCAACATTTATCCGGACATCTGCAGTCACTGTTCTTGCATTCTGAAAATGGTGGGCTGACAGAACACAATAAACACAGCAGGAGATTTGTCCATCCATGCATTTTAGCCCGCCAGCTAAACAAAAATAATCTACTAGTACTGTATATGGCCAACTTTATTCTACAACGTGTTATCTTAGATCTGTGAAACTATTTGGATGGCCTGACTGTACAGTGATCAAAACAGAAATACTGTTGGCCAATGTAGGTAATGCTGGTACTTGACATATATGTAATTGGGATTTGTCCTCTGTGTTTAGCTGCAGCAAGAGAACAATCATCTGAAACGGAGAGTCCGGGAAGTGGAGGAGTTGAACGAATCCCAGGCAGAAAAGTAAGCAGACACAGATTCAGTATACTTCAATATGTTGGTGTACGGATAGAGTATTACAGGCCTAGTACACCAGAAAGTGATGATTTTGCTTCATGGTGGATTTTATTTCCTTCCACTCCACTTATCTTCCCATTTCTATATGACTTCATACATCCATTTTGAAATATTGCTGTTGCTGAAGAACATTTATCAGTGATTTTTAGTCTGAAATGTCTTATATTTCCTTCTCCTACCCCATAATTGGGCAAACCTCTAATTTGTCATTTCTACACACGTTGAAATATTGCAGCGAAAGGTGTGGGGCTTAGCTGCAAGAAGGAGCTTCGTGTAATAACAGCTCAGCATATTTAGGAAATATGGATGGCAGCTCCACCATGGAAGCAGAAAAATGAGTCTTGCAGTGACCTACTATCAATACTTTACAGTAAGAACCCTTAAGATATTTATAGAATGTCTGTTTTAGGGTGAAAGATCTGCAGACCAAGCTGGAGAAGAAGATTATGGAGGAGCAGAAGGAAGCACAGGACCTGGAGTCCATGGTACAACAAGTGGAAGCAAATCTCCAAATGATGACGGTCAGTACAAAAGGTCACGTGTGACTTGCCAATGTCATATGGTCTGATCAGATTGCTAAATCTACTTTCATCATCCAGAAAAGGGCATCAAAGGCTGAGAATCATGTGACCAAACTGAAGCAGGAAGTGGCTCTTCTCCAGGTAGGCACAGGATTACTGTTAATACATGCACGGTGCAAAGTATCAGTTCATACTGTGATATTGGAGGGAATGTAGCACATATGGTGAGCGCTTAGGGACCAGTCATGAAGACGTTTTCACATAACAAAGGACAGTCTTTTATTAATTCCAAAGGCAGAAAAGGGAAATCCAACAAAATAGCTTTCTTCAGCATAAATATCAGCTAACCCTTCACAGGTTATCCTGTTCAGTGTCCCAGTCCCAGAACCTTACTGTTTTCCTCAACAGGATCTCTTTGGGAATACACTGTGCCCCTTGAGCAGCTTTCAGCAGCCTTTGATTTCACACCCACACACCCTGGGTGCCCGGGCTCTCTCAGCCTCTCTACGCCTTCCAGCCCCCCATGCTGTTCCTCGTGTGTCTCCAGCGCACACACAACCACCTGGCTCCACTCTGGCTTCTGGACACAACCTGTCCCTCTTCCCAGCAGGAGCCCTCATGTGCCTGCAGCCCACACCAACTCCTCCACCTGATGCCTGACAACACCTGATCTCAGGACTGGAGATTTCATCCCACCCTGAACTCTTAAGGTGCCCATTCACCTTACAACCATCGCAAGACTTTTGTCTTGCGATGGTTGCAAGCTAATTAAAAGCTTGTACGATCTGCCCATCTTGGACAGGCAGATCGTACTTGCGATTATCGCAAGCCCTCCCCGCTGAGGGGCAGTGTGCCGCAGTCGTCAAACGAGCACGCCACTAACCCGCCGACAATCGTACGATTCTCGGCTGGTTTTCTAGCATGCTCCTTCGACGGAAGGACCGTACCGTAGAAACGGTCGCACGCCTTCCATACACCTGCCGATTATCGTACGATCGCGGGATTTCCCACGATTATCGTAAGATAATCGCAAAGTGTATGGGCACCTTTAGAAATCTCCAGAGATCCAGATCCCAGCTACAAGGCTTGGATGCAGCTGCTCGGCCATGGAAACCCATTCCATGAATGTCCCTACGCACTGTTGTTGGGCCAATCTGAAGGCCACACGAAGTTTGGAGGTCTGTATCTATTGACTCTGCAGACAGTTGGCGTCTTCTGCACACTGCGCTTCATCATGCGCTGACCCGCTCTGTCATTTTACGTGGCCTACCACTTCGTGGCTGAGTTTCTGTTCCCTGTTGCCTCCACTTTGTTATAATACCACTAACAGTTGACGGTGGAATATTTAGGAGCAAGGAAATTTCACAGAACACCTGAATCCAATGATTTGGAGTAGGGATGCACAGATACTTTTTGAGTACCAGTGCAGATACTTGGCGTTTTCATGAGAACTACCAGGGTTGCAGCTGGGACCTGGCTCTGGCGCTCCACCACTGTCCTGAAATCATTAGTCTGTATTGTTTTAGAAAAACTGTCACATGACAATAAACAAAAATGTATCAGTACTCGCAAAACTGGTATCTGTGCATCAATTTATTTATATTAATAAAAACAAAATCGTACATTAAAACAGAGATGTACAAATCACAGGAGCTCTGTGTGCTCCTTACTAATGACAGCTGCCTCCTAACTTTTGAATTTTTCTCTAGTGTAGTCTTGGAGCTCAAAAGTATCGGTACATGTATTCGTACTTGTACCGAGTACTGTACATGGTATCTGTGTAACCCTAATTTGCAGGAGCGTCCTAATACTTTTGGCAAAATAGTGTATATCTAAAAGGGGGGAAAAGGCTATGTATTCCTTCTAAAAAACAAAACAAAAGCACCCAATGTTTATTATTATCATTAACCACTATCAAGGGTCAGCAGCCAACCTTGTCCTATTGCCTTTAGATTCAGCTGAACACCTACAAAGCAGAGAACAAAGCTTTACGGAGAGGAGAGACGGCCGGAATGAATGCTGTAAAACAGAATGCCAACTTAGCATTGGAGAACCTGCACAAGGTGGTGAGCGGTGCTCAGGTCTCTATAAAGTGAGCTATGTTTTCTATTCAGATTATTTGATTACATATCACCTGCACCGCTATTAATTTATTGTTATACAATTCCACTCCACAGGCAGCTGGTGTCCGGAGCCGAAGCTTTAAATATTGTGGCCCAGCTCTTGAAATCCATAGACAAAATAGCAGAAGTTCACGACGATGTTCCTTAAAATTGTAATTCCTATGTCTATAAAAATATGCCAAAAACCACTATTTTGTGACTGCCAGCTGAGAAGGTGTCTTAGCAACGGAAGAAGGCGTCTGGTTAGTTGCAGTGTATTAAACTGTACTCTTTGAACTATGGATATGTGAAAGTCACCAGGTGGCAGGAGAATATGTCCTCATGGCTCGTGACTTTGCTGGCTCCTATTGAGCTGAATGACTTCCTTTTCTATGAATATCTTACAGTGCACAATATGACTGAATGGCACTTTTTATAGTGTCCGCTTCATAGCAACTATCCCCCATCCCAAAATCCAATCTTATCTATTTTTGTGTATTTTCTTTACTGTACCATTAGTGGCACCTGCATATATGACGGTCAGTGGTGTTTTCTGTGCCAACTGTCCAAATATTCATTCCATTTCTATAGAAATCACATAGGGCCAAATTACAGATGGCCATATATATATATATTTTACTTTTAACAAACTTTGATGTATGAGCAATCAGAAAATGCCTACAATTAGTTTAATGATTTGTTCAGTAACTGTACAGTTACTTTAAGTAATGAAATCTTGCAAATATGTGTGTAAAATGTCCCATATTCGTACAGGAGATGACATGGAACTCTGCAGGCGGCGCAATGGTGTGAACGGGCCCTAAAGTGGACCTGTCAGAATAGGCATTGCACAGTTGTTAAGGGTGTTGGTTCAGAAACTTATCCTGACTCTGGCTTCACGACTACTTTTATGCCGGATGAGAGTGCTGGCTTTACTGGCTGCATTCTTGATCCAGGTCAGCTGATGTACTTGGTAATGAACCCGGAGGACAGCCACGGAACTTACATCTTTAACAGCAAGTCAGGAGTGACAACTCTAATTTTTTTTTTGTTGTTATCTTAACAAGTTCACTGTAATTTACTTTGTATTTGTCATACAATTAGTTTATGGCCAGGACCTGAGTATTAGGCACCACACCCCTGAAAATAGTAGTAATCACAAAAAGAAAGAGATGGGGTTTTGAAGGTACCGAATGACAATTCCAAGGCAATTTAAGGTAAAAATCGTTTTTTTATTAAATAGTGATTAAAAAATTGTTAATTAATATAAAATTCATTCATGAAAACCTCCAATCGGATATCTCCTAAGAGACTCACTCCACTTCTAAATGACCAGGTCACAGATACATGATTGGATTAAAGCAATACTCATGATGTCATGATTTAAAATAAATGCATGATTGGTTCTTATATTGTTCGGAGTGGAGGAGTCAACTCCGAACCTTCAAAATCCCATCTCTTTCTTTTTGTGATTACTTGTAGTATATTTGAAGGATTTCCATCATGAAGCTGTACACCTCTCTGAGAATCCTTTCATGGAAGCTGCCATTTTCTCCTAATCTGTGTAGCTGTGGAGGGAGGTAACAATGGACTAATGTCTGTTCAGGCTCCTCATGCAGCTATTTTGCTTGAGCGGTAGGTCCTCTTTAATAAGTCAGTGCATGGGTTAGTATTCTATAGCGACCAGTCGGCAGCTTTTATCTGTTTTGGAAGCCCGAATAGGAAAGAATGATTTCTGATTGGTTGAGGTGTTGCTGCAATTTCCACATTGGGTAGAAGGAAAATATTTGTATGGTGATGGACTTTTCTCCCCTTGTACTATGCACATATAATTCTAAGGACATTATATCGTTCATCTCCCAAAGACGTTTCACATGTGACAATGTCAGGGTGTTTCGTGGCAATGTTCACAGCAGGAGAAGGCAGTGATAAGCAAATCCCAAATCCCGACCGAAATTCCTCAGCGCAAACACTCTGACAGGGTTGGGCTTTCTGGTTGTTTACAAGTAACACTTCTCTTGTATCTGTTTAGCTATATCAAAATTGTATAAAGAGATTTTCTTACAGCACTCTATATTGATTGGGTGCACTGATATATTTTTCCTTCACAGAAAACACCCGATTTGTCAGAGAAAAACAATGAGGGGAATTTACGAGGCCTGGAGCAGCTGTGTGTGGCAACCAATCAGCTTCTAGCTTTCATTTTCAAAGTTTAACTGACCAGGCTAAAGAAAGAAGCTGATTGGATACTATGCACCGCTGCTCCAGTTTTTGTAAATTCCCCCCAAAGTTATTAATATTGACTCTGTACAGTGAAAGTATTTGCGCAAACTTAATTGCAGATGTTCACCTCCTCTGTTCTGGTCATATTTAATGAAGTCCATACAACTGATAGAGCTTTGTACGAGTGCTATGTGCTCTGTGGAACACTTTTGTATGCTAAAATGTATCTAAAGCCCAAACATTTTTTGTGATGAGGAGTTAAAACTCTTGACACATTTGTAGTACTGTCTGTGCACCTTCTGTGGAGATTCACTTTCTCTGGAAATGAAAGTGAGTGAAAATCCAAAATGTAGAGTTGTCACCTGAAGAGGGATAGATTGGAAATCCTTCAATGGGGACACCCTTCCAGTGACAACTGTGTGAGGTGATTTCCCTCACTTTAAAAAGTTTTCCCTCTCACTTCCTATTACCTCTACAGGCCAGGAAGTAAAAGGAAATCTCCCCAGAAGGACACAGATGGGAAAAAAACCTGACAGGGGTATTGGCTTTAGATTTACTTTAAATTGAACCTTCCCTTTAAATCTGCTAATCACATTCTAGGTGCACCGAAATAATGCTCAATGTCCTTCAGTTAATTTCCTTTCTAAAGCAAGCAAAGTATGAGTACAAAAGTCTGCTGCAGAGTAAAGCTGGCCACACACCTTACAATTTATCTGCAGATTTTCTGTGGTCAGATGGAAAAGGTGCAACAGATTCCTCCATCTACGCTAAACTGTGTGGATGGAGTAATCTCCCACTGGGCCAAGCTTCCGAAATCTTGCTAGTCGGCCCCGCTAGCTCTCAAAACACCTGAACAATGCCTGCATCCAATCAGATTGTTCAGGTATTTTGACAGCCAGTGGGGCCGACTAGCAAGATACTGAAGCTTGGCCTAGCGGGAGATTAAACCATGCGCACAGTTTAGAGTAGTTGGAGGAATCTGTTGCACGTTTTCCATCTGACCATAGAAAATCTGCAGATAATTGTGTATAGTATAGTATGTGTATATAGTATGGGCACCTTTACACTCTTGTTTTCTGTAGGTAAACTCTGCAGAGGTCTGACTCACCCCAATCAGCAGCCACCATAAGGTTTGCTGATTGCAGATAGCATACGACCATCGCAAGACAAAAGTCTTGCGATGGTCGTAAGGTGTATGGGCACCTTTAGTCTGACTCAATGGGGTCCTACTCTGCAGCTGCAGGCAGGAGACAGGCTTTTCTACTTTGACTGTGGTTGATTTAGGGCCAGCTCACACCACAAAGTCTGCGTTCCAGAGCATTCGGCCTCTGGAACACAAGCCGGCCTCCTCCCTGTGTTCAAGGCAAGGAGGGGGCGTGGCTGTGCATTGAAGTCAATGGCACCGCTGCCACGCCACCCGTCTGCAGTGCGATCGCCTGCACCCGAACTTGTGGCACATTAGTGCCTGCGTTCCGGTCCAGTGCGATCTGCAAAAATCCTGCAAACACTATTTTTGCAGAACTCAGGGAGCCGAACGGCTTGTGTTCCAGAGGCCAGACGCTCTGGAACGCAGGCTTTATGGTGTGAACCAGCCATTAGACAGCAAATGAACTGTAAGACATTGAACATGTTTTGTTTTGATGCGCCTAGGACTTATTAAGCTGATTTAAACTGAAGGTTGTAGTGGGCTTTCAATAGAAACTCTATCCAAATGTGTGTGAGATCTCAGGCACTTCTTGGAGCTGGTAGCCTGTTCTTTTATAATGCTGGTCTCACTGACCTGCTAGTGAATGATCTATATGATGAACTGTTCTGGAGAGGAGAAGCAGAAGGTTTAGCTTACAGCAGTGCTCTGAACAATGAAGATGGGGGATATATACCACCTGGATCTTAAAACATGAAATGAATTCTTCATTGTGTGTTACATACACAGCAGCTGTGACATGTTCCTGAAATGAAGGATCAGTTAAAGGGAGCTTAGGAATAGGTCTCTGGCTCTATAAAGACGGTCACCTTTAGAGTGAAGCCTCCACACAGCATGGTGAACACTGACAGAGAGGAGCACAGGATGGGAGTCAGCAGCCATCAAACCTGCTGAGAGATATACAAGTAGTTAATGGGCTCATATGATCGGTTATAAGGTCTCGTTCACACCTAGGCGTATTGCATATGCGCGTTTTTTACCGCGATTCGCGGTACAAAAAGTTGTGCGACCTTCGCGCTTTTCCGAAGGCTACTTGGCTGTATCCCAATGGAAATGCGCAACAAAACACCCCAAAGTAGTACATGTACCTTTTCAGGCGTGGGCCGTTTTGTAGCGCGTTAGGGGCGGGCGGAAATACGCCAAGGTGGGAATGAGACCATTGAATACAATGGGATTTATATTTCTGAGCGTTTTGTAGAGCGTTCATCGAGCGTAGAACGCGCTACAAAACGTTCAGGTGTGAACGAGGGCTTATATTGGAAAGGAAAAAAAAACCATTTTGCTGCTCCTCACCAATAGGTATATCATCACAGACATTATCAATGAACACTTACCCCTCCCTTCACGGTGAGTAGCAGTGCTAAACGTAGCCCTGAGGTGCAGTAAGCGCTGTATCATTTCATTTTCTTTAGGCACAGAGCATATTAAGACTTTTATATAGCACATGAAACCGTGTATAATTATTAATCATAATTAATATAATTAAATGGTTTATTTTTAGTTATATCTTCAACAGTATTTATTAATGTGTGTACTTTTTTCTTAGGATTTGCAAGAGGAACAAAACACCTTATATTGTGTAGCAGCCAATCAGATCTTGCTTTTTTTCCCCCTCTATACTGGAATAAGAACCTGATTGGTTGCTAGTGATAATAGCATCTTTCTACCTGTTCCTGTATTTTACTGAACAGCTCTATTGCTGGGGGACAAGCTGAAAAATATTGCTATTCAGAAACCCATAACAGCCTATCAGATTTTACTGAATAAATTAAAACAATAATTGATGCTTTCTGA